AATGCTATGGAAAGGTAAAAACGATAAAGACAAATTCATATATACTCAGTTTAGAAAACAATCGGTCAATAAAATACGGTGAAAATAGCATGTTTGTCTGTTTTTCGTGGTCCATAGAACACACTAAAATGTATTTTTATATATATTATTTTACTCTTAAAATTGCAGTAAAGTTAACACGCTGTTGATTATTTTTAATTCAATACTAAAACGATTAATTGTAGACAGATTTTGATACCAAATAATGTCACTGGTCATTAGTATATCCTATATGTGCACATGAAAAAACTCCCTTCGTCCCTTCCATTAGTATGCTAATGAGACTCGTCCGTGGTACATCAATTATTGGAAAATGTGTTGGGTACGTTTTTTTGAATATAGAACGGATACAGTTGCTAGTTAATTGATGTGTTAGTTTTGCACGTTGGGTGAGATATGAGTGTAGTTATTACACCTAAAAACGACAAGAAAGGATGTTTCCACCACAGTCACTGTGAGTGCTTAAAATGACTGTCAGTCATGGGCTTATGCGAAATCAAAGTGTTAATACCGATTGAATAACATATATAGTATGTAAAACATTCAACCACATATTCTTTGGAATGGATTGTGTTTAACATAAGCGAAAAACAAACACACAGAAAAGTGCTTTCAATAGGTTAAGGGGCTTCCTTTAGAATTGAATAAAGCGTCTTTTCAAAACAGTTGATGGCGAAGCATAAGATGTTAGCAGATAGAATACCAAGTAAACAACTGGATGGCCATAACAAATGCATTTCCCAAGACAAACTGGTGCAATCATGGCAATTCAACTTACCATACTCTTACACGTGTGTCCAGTCTGGTGCAATAACATTTTATTAAAATAAGTTTTTAGTCAATCATTTTCAAAAATTTCGTTCTCAGAAAGTTTGTGAGTTTGATATGAGACAACTTATGATGCAAAGCAAATTATAAGGAATTCATCATGAATAATATTTAGTATTTAGCGTGAATTTGTTACTGTAAAACTAGTTTGATTTTTAAATTTGAACATCTTATAACGATTGGCTGTGAGCACATGTTGATTCAGATATTAACTGAGTTAAAATCACTTGCTATCTTTGGTGTATCCATATAAAATGCTTCTCGACATTCTAGTAGTAGAATACATTGTGTAGATTTTATTCCAATTTCTTATCACCACCAGTTCCCACTTTTCATCTCAAATTCACAAAATAGAAATTGGGACAAAATTAGGGTTCAATCCCCAGAAAAAGTGCAGACAAATTTGGTTGATAATGTCTGGTGGTAAAGGTTTAAACTTTTCCTCAGTGTTCCGTAGGATCAAGTAATACCTGTGAGATTCCTATTTTTGACCAGATTGCCCTGTTGGGAATTATGGAGCTGGTTGTACTCAGACATGTCACTGTACCAATGGATGTAGTAAATCAGATGCCGATCTACTTGTATCTGGAGAATGTACTATAAGTGGAGATACTTGTGATGATGGATGGGGTGGTGAAAACTGTAGAGGTATGGTTATCTCTTCACATGAGTACAGAATCAACGGTCACCTATATTTTCATGTGTACTCAGATCTTTTCATATGTTTAGCATTGCATTACCATTGCACACTCATTTAAAAATTTCTTTTCACAGCATGCACTGTAGTATAGTGTTGTGCATAATAAACAATGTATATCCATATTCATCACATGGGAACGATGATCTGGATATTTGTCATGTAGCATATAAGGCCATAACCTCTTACAAGAAAAACGAATATTATATCAGTCACATGGTTCGTATTGTTGACAAACATGGTCACAATTTGCTTCATGTTTTTCTCATGAGTGTTTTTGCCAATCTCAGCTTGATATTCTGCATGTAGTTAAAGCTTGTTATATATTAGTGGATACATATCAAGGCACATTCAGCCTTCAAACTTAGACCTGAAAAAACGACTCTGAAGCTTTTAATTAAATTCGTTGGTGACTAGTAGTCTATTTAGAAAAATATATTGATAACGGAAAAGAATATTTCTGATGATTTTAAAAACTGTTGACAGCTGTAGATGCAAATACATGTTCAATGACAAGCTTAGATGCCATGTCTAATTAGCATAAATTAACATATGATTTATAAGCTTGGTTCACATTTTTGCTGTTGTTTTGACATGAGTATGTCAAGTGATCAAAAGGTTATTACATGTGATGTCATGGCTGTATAATCCACCGAAATGTGCTTGTATCGACTAGTACAAAGAAATGTTATCGAATGACAGCAGTATCATGCAGGTGTACATGGACAGTAATGATTAATTAATTGATTCATATATTTCAGTTCCCTCCGCATGTCCTCCTGGTTTCTATGGTGAAATATGTAATTATAATTGTCATTGTAAAAACAATGCAGCATGTGATAAGAACACTGGTGTTTGTCCCAATGGAGATTGTGCACCAGGATGGATAAATCTAGATACTATAGATTCAGATTGTCAACAAGGTTTGTATTTCAAATCACTGGTCTCTATGGTGAATTGTGTAACTATAATTGTCATTGTAAAAACAAAATAGGATGTGATAAGAACACTGATGTTTGTTCAAATGAAGATTGTGCACTGGGATGGTTATATTTACATACTGATTGTCAAATTACTAATTTCTGTTGTAAATTATTAAATAGTAAAAACAATGCAACATGTGATAAAACACATATGTGCACCACGATGTATTCTACCAATTCTTATTGTGTAGCTATAATCGACCCACAAGTAATGTGATCTATATTATATAACCTTTGGCTGTATATGTTATACTGTATATAGTCTTAGAACTTGACTTGATCCCACATCGTAAGGGCCATATAGTAATCACACACATTGGGTATTATTATTCCCGAACAAAGTTTGAAACAGGGACTAGTAATTCGGTATTTCTCCGTCTGTCCAGAGTCCCATTTCAGAAACCTCTTAACCTAATCCATTCATTCTTCGCATGTGTCTACTCCTTTATTTGGGACATTCGCACATGCAGTGCATTAGTTATATGATCTAAGATGGCCGATGGCCCAAATGCATTGATACATGATATGTAGATACTTCGGGTAGACTTCTATCAGATTTGTTTATTTTGTGATGATATCATTAATTCTCTGTTTTTAATGAATATTGATGTAAAAAAATAATAACGGCACTCAGAGCCATTGAGTAAACAATATGGCAAATCAAAATATTTTATGTTTAACTGTGATTACCACTTCAAAAATCCTACAACAATGAGTATACATCCTAAAGTAGATGTACTGTACTGTACGCCAAGTGTGTGTGTCCACCTGTTCCGCTGATATCTCAAGAACCATATGTTGGTTTTTGATGAAACTTGATGCATATATGCTCCAGGATGGTGTGCAGACTTGATTAGGTTTTGGTTAAATCATGCATATTAATTAGTATTAATAATTGCATAATGATTAATCAATTTTTGGCTTTCCGACACATGTCTCAAGTAGTTATCTTCTTTTTACAATGATGCTTGGTACATAGATGATTTAGGACAATGCACAGACCTGATGAGTTTTGAGTGAGTACCCATGCATATTAATTACAAAATTTGCATAATTAGTTCCTGTTTGGCTTTCCAACTGATATTTCAAGTACTAATCAATATATTTCAATAAAAATTGTCACATAAGTGCTCTAGGACTATGTACACATTTAAACAGTTTGGATTAATAATCTGTTCATATTAATAATTTAACTTACATAATGATTAGTAAATTTTCGGCTTTTCCACTGATATCTCAAGTACTAACCATCACATTACAATTAAACTTAATTTGTACATAAATGCTCAAAGACAATGCAATAACCTGGTAAAATTTAGGTTAATAACGTGCATACTAATTACCTAATTTGCATTTTTTCTTCTTTTCCACTGATAATTCAAGTACTAATCATTACATTTATTATACACTTAAATAATGTGGATCACACTGTTTTCACGTTGTACACCTTAGACATTAGCAAACAAATATTAGTTGCCAAGCTTCTTGTTTGGAAGGCTAACAATGACATGTTTTAAGCAAGCCAGATTCAGACTCTGGGACAAATAAAATTGTATGGTTTTCAATAAAAAGGAAAATGTATATTTTTAACATAAATAATTTAAGTTGTGTTTCAGTACTGTGAAAACGCATTAGGATGCCATTTAGTCAAAGGCTTATGCATTGCCTGTCGCATTATCTCAGAGGTTTATAGACAGATTTACTCAAAATTTTGTAAATGGTTGACACATGATAGTATGCATATTCCTCAGATTTTGTTTCTGTTCCGATACAAATCATCCAATGCAAGTTGATTTTGTTGAGATTCTATGCAATATGAATGACTAGTAGCCTTTTGTGTGACAAGCATTTTT